CACTCCCTTTCCTATTGCTCTGTGCTTTTTGGAAGCCAACTGGAGTCATCGTGTATTAACTCAGCAAATACTGGTAGAATGCCTTGGCAGTATCAGATAGAGGCACTTCAACATGGACATGAGTGAGATAGATATAACTCCTACCTTCTGGGGCAGTCAGTCTGAACTAAATGAGGGAGCACTGCAGAGCGAGAAGAGTAATGGTGGCGAGAAACTGGGTGCAGCAGGGCTTGCTCACCTGGCCTAGCAGGCTAGCATTGCATAGAGTAGTGCCTCTGCACACATTGCCACGGTCAGCGACATCGACACCACTTGGGAGTTTGTGGAAATGCAAACTCTCAGGGCTCGCCCGAGACCTACTGAATGAAAAACTCCAGGAGTGGACCTGGCAATTTGTGATTTAACAAGGCCGCTGAGTGTTTAATCTGCTCTCAAGTTTGAGAAGTACAGATGAAAGGTGTCGGCTTTTGGGGGAGTGAAGACACCCAGAGCACCTCTGTCCTATCTCTCCCTGTGTGGATGGGGGTAGCCTCTCCTCAAAGCCGCGTCCAGCAGGTGAGGAAGGCAGAGCTCTTGGCTCCTTGCCCCAGTCCAGTAAAACAAGACTAACCAGATAGACTCATAAATTTAAGTTTCCCATTTGAGTTGGCCGTTCCTTCCAAGGACAGAAAAGAGGGGTTTCCATCCCCAGACTTTTCAGTCTCTCCCACATATTCAGGAGTACTTTAGAGGTCTTTGAACAGAATACTGGGGCCTCAGACTCTCTTCTGAGAACTCTAAGATATGTTACTAATTAACTGAATTCAAAGAAACCTCTGTTTCTTATCCCCTTAAAATTTCAACACCTTTAAAAAAAAGTCCTAGAAATGCCTGAAAGGCCCTGTATTTTATTTTTCTTTACCCCTTCTCTTGTGCTTATTTGTACAAGATCTGGCATCTGCCTGTTTTTCAGCACATGGCCATTGCTCTTTGCTCTGATGCACTGGGCCAGACCTTTGACAAACTGGTCTTCTTGGAATGCCTTTGTTTTCTTGTTCTGCTTCTTGAACTCCTGCTCTTCCTTCCAGATTTGGCCCAGACTTTAAGCCCTGCTACACTCTTACTCTCATTTCCATTCATACAATATTTCATTCATTCACTCATTGAACAGTAGTTAGGTTGTAGTGCTATGCCAAGTACTCTTTTAGATCCTGGAAAGGCAGCAGTGAATAAAACAAATTCCTGACATCTTAAATCTTATATGCCAGTTATAGGGAAAATAGACAGTAAATAGAGCATTAAAATATATAGTGTGTCACTGCATGAGTCCATTTGGATGAAATACAAAAACAGGAAACATTCATCTCTACTAAGGTACGGGACAATAGTGATTAGAAGAGAACATAAGGAGACTCCTAAGGTGTTGGTCTCTTTCATGATATTTGTCCTGGTCATAGGGTTCTATTGAGTTTGTGAAAATTAATCGAGTTGGACACTTAGCATATATGTTTCTATATGTGTGCTTTCAGTATAAAATAAAATGTATGTAGTGTATCAGATGGTGAATAGTTATGTAGGGAGAAAAATAAGGTAGGGAAGGAAACTAAAGTGAGAGGGGGGACGATTGTAATTTTAAATAGGCTGTCCAGAGAAAGCCTCATTGAGTGGTTAAATTTTAACAAGGATTTGAAGGCGGTTAGGGAGCCGTTCCTTGGGGCTGGAAGGGGTGCTCTGGTAGCAGAAAGATAACCATAGGCTTGATTGTGTGGTGCCTTATAAGCCATTGTAAGGCTTTGGGTTTTTGCTCACACTGTGGAAAGAGATGGAAAGCCATAAGAGAGTTTAAAATTCCAGAGTTAAATGATCTAACATATTGGAGAGGGGGCTTTCTAGTTACTCTTGAGAATAGACCCAAGAGAGGCAAGGGTGAGAGGAGGGTGCCCAGTAGGAATCCAGGAAAGAGAAGATGGAGGCCTGGCACAAGGTGTTAGTAGTGTACAGTGAGGAAGGACTGGGTTTCATGTGTGTGTGTGAAGGTAGAGCAACTAGGGTTTGCAGGCACATGAGACCATGGATAGGAGGGAAAGAGAGGAATCTTTGATGCCTGAGACTTTTCCCCTGAGCAGCTGGAAGGCTGGAATCAGCAAGTGCTCTGTGTAGGCAGTGCTGGAGTTTGGGTTGGGAATATGTGAAGTTGGAGATGCCCTTGTGAGATGTTTGAGGGGAAATGTTAAGTAGGGGGTAGAGTATGAAGTTGTAGTTTAGGAAAGAGGTCCAGGCTTAAAACGAAAACCTGGGAGTGTCAGCCTATAGATAGTATTTCAAATTATGAGACTGGCTGGGATCAAAAAAGGAGGAGGTATAGATGGAGAACTAAGGACCTCTGGCATTTGTAGGTTCAGGAGATGAAGAGAAGCCAGAGAAGGAGGACAGCAAGAAGTGGGCAGTAAAGTAGAAAGGAGACTAAGAGAGTGTCAGGACCTGGGAACCAAACGAAGCAAGCGTTCCAGGAAGGATCTGGTTTTGACTGTGTTGAGAGTTATTGATGGGTCAAGAAAGGTGAGGACTGGGAATAGATCATTTGAAAGAAGGAATATGGACAACTTTTGGGAACTGAGAACAGATCCCTGAAGCCCTAAAAGAAAGGACATTTTGCTTCAAAAGGGACAGCAGAGAAATGTGTATTAACTGGAGAAGTTGTAGTGTCCCATCCTCCACCCTTTAGATGACAGAGATAATAGTATGCTTGCACATTGGTAATGAACAAGAGAGAGAATAGACTTGTGAGGCCGTCCAGTGGGGCCGGGGGTCCGGGGGCCCCTCAGACCTAGGTGGAGTGTGCTTTACAAGCCTGCTGCCAGCTGTGGCTGGAAAGCTTGTTTGCAGACCGACTGGCATCTCCTCCGCTAAGAGCTTCTTGTGCTGCAGGTGTGACCTTGCGGCTTTAAATCACACCTCCAGGGTGGGTGCACAGCTGACAGAGGAGGGGGCTGAGCCCCTAAGGAGACAGACTGTCTCCAGGAGATACCCACTATCTCCATAAGCCCCAAGCCAGTCAACATATAGTATGTTAAATCCCCATCCAACGAGCACCCCCCACCCCTGAATGACCCAATGGAAAAAACAAAACAAAACAAAACAGCAGTGTCTTAAAAACCCAGGGCACTTCCTCAATGCCAGTGTCCTGCTCAGGCACTCTGCCTAGTCTCCTCCTTGATCAGATGCTTTCTCTGTTGCTTGCCAATCAGTTAAAAGTTTCTTTTCTGCCAAATAAGTTTCTGCCTCTTCTCAAAATGTTTCCTGGCTTTTTATTTCTATACTAAGTTGAGGCAAAGAACTCACAAAATTCGCTCCAGCATCCAACCCTTCTTCCCTCTGCAACCAGTCACAACTTGTCTAGGAGAAGGGGAAGAACTGCTGAGTAATGTCTTTTCATAGGCAGAAGGATGGGGTCTAGTACACAATTAGAGTGTTTGTCTTAGGCAAGAGCACGTAAAAGGAGGTGAGACAAGGTATGTGGGCATAGATGCCGAAAGGTAGGTAGTGCAGTAGGGGGAGTTTGTGGAAATTTTCTTGTACTTGCTTTTAACTTTCCTGGTGAAATAGGAAGCAAGTCATCAGCTGACCGTGAGGATGGGCATGACGATGTTGAGGAGAAGGGGTGACATAGTCATCTAGGAGAGCAAGAGAAAATAACTAAAGAAATGCTTGTGGAACAGGATTTGTGGTTAGGTATGAAAGGCATTCTTGAGGTTCATGGTCATGAATTGAAAGTGAGAACACTCAGCAGCTTCATTTAGCTGCCTGACATAGGCATAGGATGGCAAGAGGGTTTGGTTAACCAGATGTTAGGGTTTTGCCACCCATGCATGACAAAGAAGACGGATGCATGCTCTCAAATGACTATAATGATCAGCCATGGACTTTAAGCTGGGGTGAAAAGGATAAAGGATGCAGAGTAGGAGGAGGATGGCAAAAAAAAGTGGTAGGATTATTGGATTCTGGGTCCTGAAGGCAGCCAGAGAGTTGTTAGAGTTGGGGTACTAGAGAGAATGAGTTGGAAGAATAGAAGGTAGTGGCTGAAGGGTAATATGCTTGAAATTGAGGTAGTGGAGAGGTTTTGATTGTTCCTAGTGATATCATCTAAGTTCTGAGATGGAGGAAAAGATCTTTGGAAGAGTAGAGATCAGGGCCCAAAGAAGTCAAAAGATGGATCATGTATGAGATAGTGACACCAAAATTAGGACAGAGCCAACAGCTAACATCACTGAATGGTGGGAGGGGGAATATGGACAACAGAAGATTATTCACCTTGTCACAAGACTGTGAATCATGAGCAGGGACAGAATTTTCCTCTTTTCTGGGTCCTGACAGATACTCGGTACTCACAGTAGCTGTTAGCTCTTAACTTTCAAGTCTAATCATCCTGTCCCTAGAAATGCAAAATAATGTAGAGCCGTGAAGTGAGAATGCATATCCTTTTGATTCGTTGTCTTAGGGTCCATTGGGAATATCCTCCTCCTTCCTACCCCACAACACACAAACTATCAAACAAGCTCTGCAGCCCTTCTCTTACCTGGGCTGATTTCCTGCTGGAGCACCCTGGAATGCGGTGGCATTTGCTGACCTGATGACATCAGCGTCTCTTCTGGGTGTCTTAGGCCCACAAGCCCAGCCGACACAGGACAGCCATGCTATGGCCCTGGTTCTGTGCTTCTCCTGTTTCCCTTCTCTGTCAGAAATATAAGCCCACTCACTTCCCTTTTCTGTTTGCTCTTCTATAATGGTTTTCCAAATGCTAATTGCTGGCCTTGTAGGAGGGTGAGTTAGGATGGCATCTTGTAAACGAAGGTGAATGAGTTACCCAATGGCTACCACTTTCAGTGGGGGCCAAAGAATTCATTGTTCATGATCATTCTTTTCCGTGTGACTTTCAAGAAATGCATTGAAACTGGACACAGGGTTTGCCCGCTAATGCAAAACTAATCTACTGTGTTTCCTTTTTTTTTTTTTTTTAACAGAGAGAAAGTATCCCCATACATATGACTACTATTGAGACATTTGAGTAACGTCTGCCCAAGGGCCTGTCTTGCCTTGAGCCCCCGGAGTCCCAGTTTTCTCTTGTGGATGAGTCTCTTTTTATCCTAGACACTTATCCTGTCATAAACAAAAGAAAGGAAGGAAGAAACAGATCCAGTCTGCTGGATGTTACCTGTGTACTGTGAAATAATTAGAGTTCCTGTATTTTGCCTGTCCTAGGTTTGTGTGTTGAAGTCTGTTTCTTTATCACTATTTCTCTGTTTTATTAATAAAGTTCATGTTTTTATTTGACCTTATGCCTCTCATGTGTTAAATTCTGAGTAAAATTCAAAAATCTTAACTGCAAAGTGAAAGCAGATTAAAAGCCTGATAAATGGTCTACTTTGTGTGTTTTTCATTGGGGTGATACTTCAGTGATGGGTGCCTGGTTGGGGAGTTCAGAGCAGGAAAACCTGCTATAGGCTGTCCCAAAACCAGGCCTTTTGTTCTTGTTGTTTCTGGTAATGATGGTATATGGGCACCTTACTGACACAAGGAAAAATTTATTTGAAAGGAACAGACAGACGGAGAGATCTTCCATGTGCTGGTTCATTCCCCAAATGGCTGCAATATCCAGGCTGAGCCAGGCTGAAGCCAGGAGCCAGGAGCTTCATCCAGGTCTCCCACATGGGTGGCAGGGGCTGAGCACTTGAGCCATCGTCTGCTGATTTCCCCAGGTGCATTAGCAGGGAGCTGGATTGGAAGTAGAGCAGCCAGGAGAGTGCACATATGAGATGCCAGCATCATAGCAGGTGGCCTAACCCACTGTGCCACGACACTGGCCCCAGAAACATTATGGGGGTGAGCATTTGTTGTAGCAGTTAAGACACTGCTTGGATTTTGTATCCTTTCTTTGTGTTAATGCACTGTCTAGTAATTCCACCATAATATTGAAAAGTAGTGGTGAGAAAAAGACACTTCCCCCTTTCTCCAACTTAAGGGAAAACTGTCCAATTTCACTATTAAAGCTGGTTTTGGTAGATATTCTTTATCTAGATGAGGAATTTCTCTTCTGTTCCTTGTTTGCTCAGTTTTTTTATGCCAAATATCTTCTACAAAAGTTGATGTAATCATTTAACATTTTTGCAGTTTGTGTAGTATGTCCAATTTATTGATTTTTTAAATGCTGACAGCCTTGCTTACATGGGATAAATACCACTTGCTTGTACTACATAAAATTGTTGGATTTTACCTATTATTATTTTGCTTTCTATTTTTATTTTGCATCTTTGTTCATGTGAAATGTTTTTCTATAGTTTTCCTTTCTTAGAAGTTTAACAAGTTTTTTTATTAAGGTAATGCTGATTTCACCAATTGAGTTATAAATTATTATCTACACTTCAGATCTCAAGAGGAAATGGTAGAGAGTTGTCCTTTTTTGTACTTGGAATGTATGGTAGAATTCAACTATGAGTTACCCTTACCTGATATTTTCATTCCTTTTTTTTTGGTGGTGGTGGGAAGAAGTATGCATCTTTGATTCAATTCTTTTAAAGGAAATGGACCTTGACTGATTATATTTCTTTTTGTGTAAGTACTGGCAATTTGTGTTTCAAGCAATTGTTCTGTTCATTTAAGTTATCAAATTTTTGTGCATAGTGATTTTAGTAGCCCCTTATTATCCTTAAGTTTCCATGGAACATTAATGTTCATTTCCAATGATGGCCACTCTTTGATTTCTGATACTGGTAATTTCTGTCTTTCTCTTTTCTTAATGAGCATGGAGAGAGGTTTATGAATTTGTTATTTCACTGAAGTATCTTTTGGTTTTGCTGATTTTCGTATATTACTTTCCTATTTTTCAATATTATTCATTTATACTTCAATTTTCATTCCTTTTCTTTTTCATGCTTCAATTGTTCTTCTTGCTACAGTTTCTTAAAATTTATTATCTGGGAACATTCTTCATGTGTTTTGTGAACATTCACAGTTTCAGGTGTATTTTGTTGTCCAGACTGTGGTCCATCCATGGAAGCTTGATCTTGTTGGACAAAGAATTCTGTAAATATTATTAGACCAAAGTAATTGATAAGGCTATTAAAGCCAAATTTATGCTTCTGGTTTTTTGCATTTTTGAACAGCCAATTAATGGAAGATTGATGTTCCCAAATATAATAGTGGAACTTTCTCTCTCTCCTTGAAATTTTGTCATTTTTTAAAAATATTTATTTATTTGAAAGTTAGGGTGTCTGGGTAGAGCAGGAGTGGGGAGAGACAGAGAGAGCACACGCGCGCGCACAAGAGGGAGAGAGAGAGAGAGAGAAACAGAAAGAGAGAGAGATCTTCCATTCACTGTTTCACACTTGAAATGGCTGCAATACCTGGAGCTGGGCAGGCTTAAGCCAGGAATTCCATCCTGGTCAACCATGCAGCAGAAAGACAGAGAGATGGATTGAGAGGGGAGCATCTAGAATTCCAAACAGCACTCCAAAATGGAATACAGGTGTCCCAAGCAGTGGCGTACCCTGCTTTGCCAGAATGCCCACCCTCATTCTGTAGGTTTTTGAAGTGTATTTTGCAGTTCTGAATTTAGGTGTATACACAAATTTGCTAGGTTTTAAAGCAATGGCTGCCTAATCATTAAGTAATCTTCCTGTTTGTCTCTGATAATTTTCCTTGTTCTGAATTCCATTTATCTGAAATTAGTGTAGTACCTCCAGCTTTCTTTCAATTAGTTTTAACATATCTTTTGCTATCGCTTTATTTGAACTTGTCTGAATCAGTATATTTAGTGAATGTCCAAAAGACAAGATGTAGCCGAATATTGTTATTATACTCACTTTGTCAATCCTTATCTTTTAATGAATATATTTAAACGATTCACATTTAAGCCTTTAAATAAGAAGATGGTTTTCATCCTATTTCACAATGGTTACTGTTCCTCTTCCCTGTCATAGCTAATAAATGATGTTTCTAAGCCCTCTACTGTGAAAAGTTGGTGGGATTCCTCAAGATAAAGCAAAGTATTGGATCCCTAAGTCCATGTTGCCTGGGAGTTTCCCATTCATGGTAGGAATGGCCTCCAGCCACTGGGTAAAATTGCCTTCACACAAAGTTACCCCCTAAGTGCTTCAGCCAGGGCGCTGTTCCAGATAAGCAGGTCCCAGCTGTGATTCCAGCTTTACGACCTTTGATGATTCCTGGGTGCTCATTGCATTGTAACTGCAACTCCTTAGTGTGCCCAGAGAAGCTGTTGATATTTGTTTTGTTTAGCTTATTATTGTTGTAATGAGGAGAGTAATGACTTTCAAGTCTTTTCATTTCGGAAATGATACTTGAAATAACTTCCACTTTGACTATGACATTGTCTAAATAAGATCGGCGTTGGAGCCTCGGGTGATTACTGACGCCATAAACAAGAGTGTCAATTGTTAAATCAACAACAGGAGTCACTGTGCATCTACTCCCCATGTAGGATCTCTGTCTTTAATGTGTTGTACTATGTGAATTAGCGGTATAACTAATACTCAAACAGTACTTTACACTTTGTGTTTCTGTGTGGGTGCAAACTGTTGAAAACCTTACTTAGTATATACTAAATTGATCTTCTGTATATAAAGATAATTAAAAATGAATTTTGATGTGAATGGGATGGGAGAGGGAGCGGGAGATGGGATGGTTGCGGGTGGGAGGGAGGTTATGGGGAGAAAAAGCTGCTATAATCCAAAAGCTGTACTTTGGAAATTTATATTTATTAAATAAAAGTTAAAAAAAAAAACACTGCTTGGGATACACACATCCAATATCAGGTGCTTGGTTCAAGTTCCAACTCTGCACCTGATTCCAGTTTTCTGCTAATGTACACCCTAGGAGGCATAGGTGATGGATCTAGTACTTGGGTCTCTGTCACCCACCTGGAAGACCTGGATAGAATTCCAGGCTCCTGGCTTCAGCCTGGCCCAGCTCCAGCACTAGACATTTGGGGAGTGAACTAGCCAATGGGAGTTCTCAGTCTCTCATTATGCCTCTAAGATACATAAATAAATAGATAATTTAAAAACAATTATGGATATAAATTATATCTGTTTAAGTCTTCTCTGGGCATTACTGGACAAAGGCTCTGGAAATCCTGTAAATTCAAAGAAGGCAAGACTAACCTTTGAACTTTTCTGATTTGCCCAATTGATGTTAGAGTCTATTTTTCCTATACCTTGCCTGCCACACCTCTCCTATGTCTTTTATTTCTGCACATAGATTCTCGTCTGCTGGGATCCAAATGTTTGAGACTCCCTCGAATTCATATGTTGAAATTCTAATTTCCTAAGTGATGGTAGGAGGAGGAGGAGGCTTTGGGAAATGATTCGTTTGTGAGGGTGGAGCCCTCATGAATGGGATTAGTCACCTCGCTAGTGAGGCCTGAGAGGTCTCCTGTCCTCTCTGCCACTGAAAGCTCAGGGAGAAGGTGCCATGTATGAAGCAACAAGGGGGCCCTTACCAGAGACTCAGTCTGTCAGCACCCTGATCTTGGACTTCATAGCTCCTAGAATTGTGAGCCATGCATTTTTGCTTATGAACCGCTCCGACGATGGTATTTTGAGGTAGAAGCACAAACTGACCAAGACATCCTTCTGTGTTCCTTCTTGGGAGTTCTGGGGGACAATGTCTTTTCTGGCTGCTAGGTATCAAGCTTAGGTTATAGAAGAAAGGAGAAAAAGGTAATTGTAAAATGAGGGAGAAGAAAAACAACTGTCCAGGAATTAGAGATTTTAATGGACTCAAAACCTACTTTGTTTTTTGCATTATTGGATTCAGAGGATGAAATCATTTCAGTGGGAATACAGCATTTGTATGTTTCTAAAACTTCCACATAGCGCATCACAGGAAGAAGGAGCACGCCAGGGAGATGTGTGCAGTTGTGCAAACCTGAAATCTGCATTCCTGGGATAAATTTTCACCAAGCTGAACCCTTGAGGTGTGTTCTAAAGGTTTATAGGGAAACCATACTGGCTGGCAGGACTCTTAGAGGTAGCATTTCTGGGGAGACCAAGTTGGACTGGGGCTAACGTTTCAGAGAATCACAGAAACCTGGCCTGAGCTTCACTCAACATTAACTACTTAAAGCAGGAGGATGCACAGACGATTAGAACTACGTGGAGCAACGTATTGATTAATTATGTGTATTGAGCAATTAACATCATAGAGAACATTGCCTAGGAATTAATGGCTCACATTGAAGTGATGATGTTGAAAATAAAAGAATCACTTCTCGATCTTTTGGTTAAGATCAAGTGTAAAATCAAAGGGAACATGGTGACAATGGAGCATGAACATGAAAGGAATCGGCTTTGAATCATGACTCTGTATATTGCTAGGTGTGTAGTCCTGGAAAAGT